AATCCTAAATCACAAAAGGCCCAAAAATAAGAAAATATTTAGAAAATAATAACGCGAATGTCCCAATGTAAAATATGATATCCAAAACATCCCAAATAAAATATATATATTCAATATATCTCTAAAATAATAAATGCAAAGTGTTGAAAAAATTATCCGAACACTTGACCCGAGACCCGAAAATGACGAAAAAAGAAAATAGGAAAAAATAAAAAAGTGGACAAGTCCTCACAACCTCCCCACCTTACAGGGATTTTGTCCCATAAATCCAGCCTCAACAAAAAATGAAGGTTAACCAAAGATATTTACGGAGTATATCTTCGAGTATCCCACATAACAAAACACATACATAAATCCCAAAACTGAGAGAAGTCCGGCTAACCAATGTCATTTGCACCTAAGTTCTAATAACACAACACACACAATAGTTCTTGCCAAAAACTTCAAGAACGGTCCCACTCCAATGTCATTTGCACCCAAGTGCTTATAACATGATAAAATCTCACAAGAATGTTGATCACATAACCACGTGACACATCCAAACTCAAACACCGAACATAATCCCAAAGGTGTACACAACCCAAGACAAAAGCTCTCAATTGTCACCCAACACATCAAATCTTGAGATGCCACAATCTCCTAACCAACCCCTATGAAAATCAAGTCATACTACCACATACCTACACAACTAATCATCAATGACAAAAACAATCTGCCTCACGAACGCATCAACTCCAATAATATCAAAGGAATACTAAACCTTGCCCAAGATTACGATTAAAGGTCACCTAAATCCCAAGGGTAAAGACAAGTACACAACTACAAGTCTCTAAAACAGGGTTCAAAAATTAATCGGATCAAACCCCACGAAATCATTTGATTCACAAATCCATTAGTGTGTCCACGACCCCGTCAACATAATATCCTCAATGGAAAACCTTAATATCTGAAAACACAACCATCTCTAAAAGAGAAACATTCAAGTCAAACCAACGTGTATCACTACCCAAAAGAAACAACTATTGACCCTTGACCCGACAATCTATTCAAACAGAATTGATTCAAGTAAACTGGTTAATCAGGCCACTCCATTTGTTAATTCTGTTCAAACAACCATATCATCATCGTCCTCAGGTCGAAACTCCAAATATCATTCTCATATGAGAACCTCAAGAATACAAATATCTCGATCACTATCATCAAATCCAAAATCTCAACAAATACCTCAATCATTACTTCTATGCCAAAAACATCAATAAGAATAATCACGTATCCCCTAACAAAATATGAAGACTACTCATCCATCCGATAAAAATCATAACCCAAGTATCTCAAAATCATGTTTAGTAATACCAAGCTGGAACAAAATTCCTCAAAACTATGCCAACACATGACCACTGCATTTTTGGGATAAAAGGGGACTTGTGTCTTATAATGAAAACATGCATCATTTTTCACAACATGATCATTGAAGATGAGCATTATGCCAATGTTGGAAGATGGACTCTGCCGCCGAGGAGACAATCTCAATTCCCACTTTAATTTAAAATTTATCGGTCTTAGTGGCACACATCTACTCTCGCCAAGTCCAAATTCACAATAAAGAGACAAATATGCGGTTGATGAAGGATTTAATTAAAAATTTGTGGAACCGTTTTGGTAAAGAAAACGTTTAATTTATGTTGCATTTATTTATTTTTAAATTGTTATGAAGTTTACGTAATGGAATATTTATTGTGTAATGTTTTATTTTGAAATAAATAATTAAATTGTTTGCTGATTAAATTATTTAGCCAATATGTATGAAATATTATAAACAATACAATATCTAATATCATTTGATTTATTAATTTATAGAGGCGAAAACAAAGACACATTTTTTAAAATAAATTTAAAATAAATTTCAATTTGTTAGGAAAAAAAAATAAAAAAATTTGTTTGGTTAGCCAATATAGCCGTTAAGGCACTGTTTGGGTCAACCAAACAGTACTTAAAATGGCTATAATGTCAATAGGAATATTGAAAATTTTGAAAAAGAAAAAAAATCATTTTTTTGCAATTTTTTAAAACTATTTTTTTGCCCAAAAAAGCCTTTAAGGCACTGTTTGTGTTAGCCAAACAGTACTTTAACAGCTCTTTAGTTCAATTATGTTGAGGGAAAAAAAAAGGCAAAAAAAAAAGAAAAAAAAATTTTTTTTTTTGGAATTATTTTCATAGCCAAACATGCCCTTAAATTTATTCTAGGCTACAGTGTTACTGGTCACAAAAGTTAAAAAACCAAAAAATGGGCGAGCCCGCAAAAGTGAGCCTGCAATCGCTAACAGGGTCACCTAAAAAGGGCGACTCGTTTGGAGACCCAAAAATTGTGGCCCACATTTGAGCTAGTCCAATGGAGTAGCTGGTCTCCATTTTTTGGCCCAAAATCACTATAAGAAACACTAAGGGCCCGTTTACTAACGTTTTTACTTTCTTATTTTTACTTTCTCTAAAAGTAAAATCATAATTTTCATTTCTGAATCTGAAATATAAAGTAGAATTATGTTTACTAATTTGTCATGCTTTCAATATTTTCAAAGCAAGAAATTAGAAAGTAAGTTCAATAATTATAATTTTGATTTTGTTTTGTAAATTATATACCATTTGTATGCGTGTGTGTATATATATATGTATATAGCTCTGTGGGAAGCTCCTGAAATCAGCATCGCAAGACCCAGATCATTTCTTCTGTGAAATCAAAGGGCATTGCCACCAACATCACCAATTGTATTTAACACACACCACCAATTGTTTCACAAACCCAAAACCAAACACCAAACAAGGAAGAACCTTCCCTCTCTTCATTTCTTCTTCTCTTTTCTCTCCGATTCTTTTCTTGTGCTTTATCAGATTCAATCTACGAAAGTTTCCATTAATGCCTCTCCAAGAACTCACCATCAAACCCAATTTCTGCCAACACTCTCTACAGCCCTTCAATCTTACATAAAAAAACCGCCATTTCAACACCTCCACCACCACGAAACCCTCACTCATCATCACCCCTCTCCGCGAATCCCATGTCGGCCCATCGTGCTCTGCGCCAAAATTCTGGGGAGCTTGCAAGTTCAAGATTCTGGTCATTTGTGACTTATTCTCTCTTAATCAATTCCTTTAACTTATTTCTTTTTGTCGGGAGTGTTTGTAGAGAGAGAGACGGAGGAGAGAGAGGCGATGATGGTGGTGGTTGTCGGCAATGACGATGGTGGCGGTGGTTGTCGACGGCGAGGAGGTGGCAGCCGCAATGACCATGGTGGGGAGGAGGTGGTGGAGGAGATGGGTGATGCAGATGATTACTTAGAATATATATATATACATATATATATATATATAGTGCTACAGTAGAGAAAGTGATTTCTACAAATAGTGTAGAAAATAGAGATTTCTCTTCTCTTTACAAAATTAGAAAGTACTTTCTTAAAACAAAAAAAATGAAAGTATTTTTATTAAACACAATTTTTACTTTTAATTCTTAATTTTTAGAATTGATAGCAGAAATCAGGAATCATTCTTGACAGTAAACAGGCCCTAATGGAGTTACTTTTAAGTTGCTTATTTTGTAGTGATGTTATTGTATCGTCAATGGTTGAGTTTTCAATTAATGTTATCAATTCCTCGAAATATGGAAAATGTCCTAGAACTTCACGACATAACATTTGGCAATATGTGCCAAAACAGTACACTTTAGAAAGAGAGATGTTGTGTGATTCAGAGCTGGTGAAAAAAATGAGGGAGTAATATTAAATATAATGTTGATGGTAATGACAATTTGGTCTTAATATTCATGGCTTGAAAAATGATTTGATTTGGTTGGTGAGGTTATTTTAGTAATTTTGTCGCACACAAGGGTAATTTTGATATTACGATTATTAGTTGGTTAGCAGGGCTACTGGATTATAGTCGACCAAACCTTGAGGTAGGTTGACTACCATGTTTTAAAAACTTTAGAAAGCATTTAGGACATACTTAGGGGAGGTTAGGTTAAAAATTCTTACACTTTTATAATAGCGGAGGTTAGGTTAAAAATTCTTACACTTTTATAATAGCATATATGGTGAATTGCATTAAATTCGCATTTTTTATTTACGTTTTGTACTAAATTCTTCATTTCTATTTTTTGCCAAAAAATTACTAAAATAAAAATTGACTAAAATAGTCAAGACGTCGTTCATAGAAATAAACACGTCTATTTTTTTTTTATTTTATATTTTAATAGTTCACTACTATATTGAGAAGAAAAAAGAAAAAGAAAAAAAGAGGTTTCTCATCTTTTTCATAGTGGTAGAAGATTATATCACTTAACAAATTTGTATAAAGTAAAAATCAATAAAAATCAAATAAATGAATGCACAATATAATTCTAAGAAAAAAATAACAGATAAATTTCAAAAGACCAAGATTCATGTGCGTTTGAAATGTAAATATAGTGTGTATAATATTTAATGGTATACATTATATATAATATTATAATTGTATTTATAATAAATAAATACATATATTTATATCATGCATAAAGAAAAGAAGCTGAGCAAAAAAAAAAAAAAAAAACAAGAGTAAGTGCTACTCCAATGGTTGAGACTATGTGACTAAAAGTGAAATGGAGTAGAGATATACACCTGCAGAATATATGAAACATGTACATGGTTATTTTAATCTGTAAAATATTGGAGATAAATCAATGTGCAAATAGATCCTCTTGAATCGCCCCTTTTAAGGAGTTTTTTGATTAAAAAAACAAGAAAATAAAATAAAGAGAATTTAACACAAAATGCAAATAAAAAGAGTTTAATGCACGTTCACCCTAAATATAGATATAGGCTTATATATATATATATATATATGTATTTATTATTATTATTATTATTTTTTAAGTCTGAATAACATTAAATCACGCAGGAGAAATTATAATTTCTGGCGCATTAGAAAAGCTGACTGACAAAGCAAATGGCATCCTTCCATTGGGCAGAACCACCACGAAAGCGCGATGACCTGGCGCACACGAGCACTGAGCAATTTCTCCAAAATCTGAACCCTAGTAAAACCTCCAATACAGAGAGAGAGAGCGCGCGCAATGAATGGCTCCTCCACGAATCTTCTTCATGTCTTTATCAGGTCACCTGAGTAAATCAAAGCACCGTTGGATCTCCTCCACGACTCATCTGGATGGGTCATGGATGGACAAGATCAAAGGTGTCTTCACCGGTAAGAAGGACATTTCTCAAGACCCCTCACAAGCCACAACCTCCTTCACCCTTCCTCGTAAGCTCTACAATTCACCAATCACTCCTTGATTCTTTACTTTTTTTTTTTTTTTTCTAGGGTTTTTTTTTTGTTAAGTTTGTTCGTTCTGTTATATGTATTACTATTAGTTATGAATTTAATTATTTTTTTGTTACTTTAATTTAGGGTTTGCGGATGAGATGAAGAATGCGAAAAAATTAGGGACACTCAAACAATATGTAGTGGGCCGAAGCAGCGAAGCCACATTTGCTGATGCTTTTGAGAAGCAAGAGGGTATTCTTAGATTTCTCGGCAATTTCGATCCTACCGGAGAGGTTTTTTCTTTTACCTTTTTCTCTTCCTTTTAATATATATATATATATATATATATATATATATATTACGAGTATCATTTTTATTTTTTGCAAAGTTCAAGAAAAAATACACACCCTCAATGTAGCATCTAGGATGGCTGGAACACTCAACCTCCCCTTTGGGTGGTGGAAGAGTGGCTTCTCTTACTCAAGCTCACATTCTCATATTCTGAGGTTGAGTTTTTATTGTTTTTATATGACTATATATGTGTGCGCTTCTGAGTGTGTTAATGTATGTACTGCTATTTTAGAGTTAGTGAACAGTTAAATACAAGGTTAAAAAAAAAACAGTTACTGCAGAGAAAGCACTTAAAACATAATCAAGATTTATTAATTTTTTGTGCGTGCGTCTGTGTCAATAATGTGTATATTATTCCTGAATTCTTATGGAAAAAAAGGTATAAATTGTTCCTGAATACTATATGTGTCATAGTTTTGGGATCTAAGAAAAAAAATATTATTTTTAATTCTGAATTGACAACAAATGATTTTATTCTTAAATATGCTTTATTTTCTATCACAGTCAGCTTTCAAAATTTTTTTTTTTTTAATCCTTTTAGTTATACTTTTGAATGATTTTTAAAATTTTCTACTCAATACTTAGTTCAGTACGGATTTAGTGCCAGCTATTATCAAATCAAAACACACACTTTCACTCTTTCTCCATATCCTACTTCCTTTATTTTAAAGTTTATTATGTGGTTCTCTCTTAGTTATTCCTAACATTTCTACCGAATTTTGAATTATCCAACTAAATTTATAAATATATTACTTTTGGATATATGACAAATGGTGATTGCCATTTCAAATAGATTGCTGAAGAAACACAACTTATGATAGTGTTTGTGTTAGGAATTTCTTTTGCTGGGTTCAAAATTTCTGATTGAACATTTGTATATTGATTGTAGAACCTACAAAAGAGTCAAAAGCAAGAAGCAGCAAAGCATTGTAATTGCACGATAGCTGATGTTGAGAATACATTGGCGAAGTTTACATGGGCTAAAGAAGCACAGAAGAAAATTGAGAAGTTAAAGGAAGAAGGAAAACCAATGCCAAAGAACATGGCCGAGGTATTACTTGTTGCACTTCGTTATGGTTTTTATTCTATTGGTACAGGGTTATTTCATGCACATAGTTTTTGGTTGCCATTTGTTAGATAGTCAATGAGCTATATGCTCGAGCTTTAAGTCAATATACCACTCAAAGGCATTTCCTTAAAGGAAATGAACAAACTGCTTGAGCAAGAAGTCCTGTTCAACTCCTGCATTGTTGCTAGTCTTAACGATATGGGCAACGTGTTGCTTGGGGTTGCCCTTTCCACCAAAACGGCTGGATCTTTGGAGGTTAGTACCCCACGGCAACTGCCTTGGCCCTGCTACGTGTCATAGGACCTACTGAGGTGTTGTTGTCACTTGATGGGTTCTTAGTCTTCTTGTCACTGTTTGTGGCAGCATTGATGTTGGCCATTGTGGCTGTGGTGTCTCTTGTGATGTTCTTGTTTTTAGTCTGAGGAGCCATAGACTCTAACTAAGAGTTGTCTTGAGGGTCTGATATAGGAGAAAGAGATGAGAGGCAGAAGTGTCACACCGGACTTTCTAGAAATTTTCAAGTCTCAAAAAAAGACTAAAATAAGTAGTCAAATTATTCAACTTTATTAATTCCGGTAGAAACTAGGTACATTTCTCTGTAAATCTTTACAAAAGAAAGAAAAATCCTCTGATTCGATCTCTTTTTTGCTCCAAATTCAAGGGCTGTTCGAGCTTAGTCTTGAATTAGGTTGGAACTTCAATGAAGAACGACAAGATGGTGATGTGCTTGTTGTTCTTCTCTTATAGAGCTTGGGATGTTGGATGAATGCAGAATCCGACAGAGCTTCGGTGTTGTCCTCTTCTCCATCCATGAGCCTCTATTTATAGGCTAAATGGAAGAATCAAATGGTGACATGTGTCACTTTTTGATAATTATCCCATTATAATATTTTTATTTTGTGATCATTATCTTTGTCGATACTTACAAAAAAATATAATTACATTGGATGATCATTTATAATAATTATCCCTAATTATCTTTTATTACTGAAAATTATTATTCCATTTGGTTAACCCATTTCCAAGTGAGTCTGGGCTTTGAATTGTTTGAGCCATTGGCCCATATTTCATGGTGGGTTCATATTGCCATGGATAGAGGCCCAATTTGACTGATTCATCAAAGGCAAATTTTGACTAGGATGGATCCAACAGTAAGCAAATTGTTACAAAATTTTAGTTTCTACAATGTCCACTTCATTTAATCTCATTTTTGACGTTTAGGCTTGATTCAAATCAACTTACCATTAAATTACAACCTTTCTAGCTTGATATAACCTCTTTTAACAAAGAGGAAACTATTAATGATTAATTAATTTATAAATGATTGTGACACGATGGTGCTTTTCTCGGCATTCATGGAGCTGACGAGATTGCCAATTATTTCATGAGAGGGGGAGGTTAGGGTTTCGTCTTTGAGTAGAGGCCACTGCTTTGAGGTGGCTGAGAAGGGGATTTACAGAAAAGAGAGGCTCTTCGAGCTTGCTTGGTGGGTAGATTTGATTGGGAAGTGGCAATAGAGAGCAAATATAAGCGTTGGTGAGCAAATATGTTGGTTGGGTTTTCACCGTTACTGGATTCCCTTTACCTGTTCAGACTTCCATCACAAATAGAAACATTTAGGATTTTAAAGAAAGGGAAAAGAATGTGGGGGAAAGCGAATATGCTGTTGGATGTGTGGTCGTTTAAGGGGGTTGTGTGTGTTGAGAACGAAGGAAAGACTGCTACTGTACCGGTTGCCATTATCACTGTGGTGCCAAGAACTGTTTGTGACCATTGGAGATGTATGTGGAGGTTTTAGAGGTGTGTAGGCGGACGAGAGGGTGAATGCAGATAAAATAGTCATTATGTGAAGGAAGATGTGTCTATTTCAGCATCGATACTAATGAATGATGAGAGATTGAATTATAGGTTTCTGTGATAGAGTTAACAATTCCAGATTTGGTGGAGGTTGACAGACCCAAATCGAAAGACAAAAGCAAAGAAAAGAAAGGGGAGCGAGTTGCAGACGAGGCTGATGGTAGAAGACGACGTTGGGCTTGTGCGCTTGGGGCAAGTGGACGTGATGGGGAGAAAAGGAGTATGCATGGAAACAAGAGAGAGCCTTATCTAAAAAAGTGAAGGACAACTGTTGATCATTTAAAAACTGGGGTGGTGGGGCACTTGAACTGGGAGGACTTCTTTTAAGATTGCTAGGCTGAATAAAGGGGGATGAGCCCAATGGAGATGGGCAGAACCACTTAAAAGACAAGGAAGGATCCATTGAAAGTCCACTTATCAAAAAAATTAAAAAAAAGGATCCATTAAAAGTCTGCCCTGGATAGAATGGGACAAGCCCGTCAGTTTTGGGGTAACTTGAGTAGGCCCGAAAGTGATGGATTGAACCAATTAAAAAGGGAATGAGCACATCAATCCTGTGCTAATTTGGGGAGGTCCAACAGCAATGGACTGGACTGAGTCGGTGCATTTCGTAAACACACTAAACCTCCAAAATTGTCTTTGGCCGAAAAAAGCAAAATGTCTATTGAGCCATCCTCTCTTTTAGTGGGCTCAAAATAGTTAAGGGAGTGGAGGAAGTAGGCCGAGTTCTGTTTATCCTGTGGAGTGTGTTGATATTTTGGACAATATGGACTATAGAGTTGTATTCTTTTGTATCTTTGTTTCTGTGCTCCCCTTTTTAGTGCCTTTTAATTTTAATTTTAATTTTTAATTTTAATTTTAATTTTTTTCTCTCTTATATATACAAAAGATAAAGAAAAAGGAGATGGATGGAGGTCGGTCCCCTTCATATGGTGGGTTTTGAACTTTTTTTTTTTTCCTACCTCCACCGAGGTTCGAACCCCCAACCTCCCCTTTGGGGTTTGAACGTTGTAGAGAGAAAAATATGTGGTCTTTTGATGGTGTGGAAGCACCAGTGTGGGTGCTGAAGCGTTACATTTTGAGTTTCTTATTTTTTTGGATTGCAGGAAGGATTCAAATGTCTGTAGAGGATTTTGAGGATAGCTTGAGGGTAGATGTATTCTTTTGTGTAGTAGTTTTTTGGAAGCACTCCCCTCTCGAGGGCCTTTTATTGAAATTTTACTTATAAAAAAAGATATAAGCTCTTTAACTTCCACAAACTCAAAATTCATTAAATTAAATATTTAGAAACTAGGATCATCTAGTACTTGGAAAGTAATTAAAGTGTCCAAATATCTCATTTTACATTTTATTTGTAATTTCAAAACCGTCTCCAACTTGCTGCTAGGAAATTGGAATAATTGGCCTTATGAGCTTTGTTTTATTGCTGGACGTTATCCATCCAGAATGTTGTCTTCTTATCCTTTCCAACCATATTTGGAACATAATTATTTGACACGGTTTAAGTCCCTCAAATTGCTTTCTAAAGTCAAGTTATCTATCATAGGGCTTTGTTACATGGACTCTTCAAAGTTTAAAAGTAGGTGAAGTATCCGTTTCAGACACATAATACTTGAACATGGGTATGAGTTGGTTGAACATGCACCTAAAAAACACATCCAATAATTCAGTTTTATTATATATTTGCTTTAAAATGAATGAAATGCTTATATTAGACACTATCTTACATAAAGACATTATTTTACTCTAAAAAATAAAATGTTTAAGTGCAAAAAAACCCCTCACTATATACAGGATGTGCAAAAAAACCCCTATTAGAAAAAAAGTGCATATAACTCCTCGTATTATCCATCTTTTGAGCAAATTGCCCCCTAATCATCAATTTTGACCAAACATTTTTATAAAAATCCCAAAATACCCTCCCTGCTGATGTAAGCAAGAATTTTTATTTTTTCTCTATCCTTTATCTCTTCAAAACCGTCTCTGTCCACTCTCTCTCTACAAGAAACGGTGCAGGCGAACACCATTCCGGCGAGCACCATTTCCGGCAAACCACTTCTATCCGGTGAGCTTGTGAGGGTATCTAGAAAATGGCTGTTCAACCCATTCCAATTTCATAAACTGATAGCCAACTCCAAATCTGATGGTGAAGAAATCTTTTTCGTTTCTCATTATTGTATGGCAATGTATTATACTAAATTTTTTAATCTATTAAAAACAGATACCCAAGTCATATCAAATGCTAGTCTCCTCAAGTTGTAATTATCCCACACCAAGCCCATGAAAAACATGATATGAATAGTACAATACAAGTATGACAGCTTACAAATATGGAAAGAAATGAAAAAAGAAGAGCAATATGCAACAGAGCTTCTGGGTCTTCTCCGAGGCGCACCGGTTGATCCTGGAAGCTTCCTCACTGTTGTCTTCTCTCAAGCTCTGTTTGGTCACCGGTGCTAGAACAGAGCTTCTGGGTCTTGTCACCGGTGATAGCTCATGCACGACCTTGGAGTTCTTTCGAACACTGGAACTGCCACTTACAAAATGGGTTCGGTTCTTCAATGACGCATGCAAGACTGTAATTCACGCTGGTTCTATGGGTGCTGCTCGTTGCTGGACTAAAGCAAAATCGCCAGACTGAAATGGAACACACCAGATTTTGTTTATTCGTTATTATTATTTTTATTTCTTTTTTGGGGGTAATTTAGACATTTCAATTGCTAAATTGACATAATGACAGGGTTTTTTAGCACTTAACCCAAAATAAAATGAAATATTATTCAATATGAAGTTATGAACATTTTCCGTGTCCATGTGTCCTAATATTTAAAGATTTGACACATCCGACGCATGGATACATACCCATACCCGACACACTTACCTCAGTCTTGGTAACATAGCCGTAGAGTTCAAAACAAAATAATAAGAGGGATAAATTATTTTCCGAAGTCTAATAAGTTGAAAGATGCTCAGTAGGTTTGAAGGGCGAATGTGTGTGGAAGGGAGTGTCAGAATGATGAATGAGGCATTCCTAAGAAAAAAGAATTGTGTCAGTTTCAATTTTTGTTTGGTTTAGTGCAATGGAGTAAAAGGAGGTGCCACCTTCCACTATTTGGTGAAAGGGA